TTCTCACCCCAATATCATAAATCAAATACAGCCTGTCAATTTAGTATATTGACACTCTTCCGTTATCTGATTGTGGGGTCACCCAAAAATGGAAGATCGATCGAAAAGTTTCTTGTACCACCCTTAAGAACCACATCATCACCAACTAACCGGCTTAAATTAACCGAATAAAACACGACACTTATTTTTTTTGTATTTTATTCCACCAGCAGATGACACATGGTTTCTTCGCGAAACTTTTACTTCTTAAGTTTCACAAATTGCGTGTTATAAGAAAAGGGAATTTTATATGGTTCTTAAGGGTCGTGTAAACTAAATGAGTTCTTTTTTTAATCAGAAATATTTTGTTGTGTTAATAATTAATCAGTTATGAATAATCGTGTTAACTTTACTAATTGTGAACACTTGTCTTTTGTAAATCATGACACATCGTGATTAATTCAAGGACTTTTAAGACTGGAATCAGCAAAACGGTATTTTATTCATTTTCAATTGCATTAGTTTCAACAAAGTTAAAAAATATTATGTTTCAATTTATTTTTAGAAATTAATCATTTTGATAATGATGAATTTTACATTTTTTATATAGGGATTCAATGAAATGTGTTGATAAATTAAAACAAAATCGTTGAGAGTTTATTTTGACGAATTATGAGACGATTTATACTTCTAGTTAAAAGATCATATTTATAGATAACCAAAATAATAAATAGTTCAACTAATAGTTCATTTTTATCGTTTCGAATTGAAAATATACGCTGATTTCTTTCTTCTGAAATGTTCTTGTAGTCCTCTTAACTCGTTTACTTCTTCTTAAATCAATCACTGGGTTTTTGCCCCCATTAGAGGTATTTTCATCGCTCTGTTAATCTAATTCATCAAGCTAATCATAATTTGTGTATCATCAAGATCAAACATTTTGCAAAATTCTTGGTTTTTTTTAGTGCTGTGTTACTATAAACAGCATTCAGCTGTAATTAAAATTATTTGTCTACCATGAAGACATATTCTATTTTTAAGCAAGGTATTTGATTCTGATCTCTGAAACTTGGACAACATTGTGCATTGAAACAGAGCAAAGGAATGAGGTGCTAAGGTTGTCAGAGTCAACTGGAATAACTATTATAATAGAAGCATTGATATTGGCATCAGTTTTACTAAATATCACTAGTAAAACTGATGTTATTATACAAAAATGTAAGAACAATAATATAAGAAATTAAGTTAAGTCAACTATCCGAATATATCTCTGATGTGTTGAGAATAAATAATTAAATTTTGCAGATATTGCTAGGTTATTATTAGATTGCTAGGATTTATTGGCACAATCATCATCATTAATTGTGGTAACAATTCAGTGCGGATTCTGGTCTTCCAAAGTTTCCTCCTTCATTCATCCCTATTCCATAGAACTGCTCTCCAGCCTTTAAATCTTGTCCTCCTATCTGAGTTAGACCTTCCTTGTAGTTAGGCATGCATGATCCTCCTCGACACATATGTATCTGGTGGAAGTTCCAGATGACCCGCTCATTGTAATCGCATGACCTTAATTGTACACATGACATTTGGTTTAATTAAAAGTTGTTCTGCGTCGCCATTTTCCGTTCTCACACATCCCTTTGAAAATCGTGCGAAGGATTCTCCTCTCGAAGATGAACAGGAGGTCCGCGTCACGCTTGCTAATTGTTCATGTTTCCGGATAGTACATAACCACGAGTAATATAAGGATTTTGTATACTATTTGTCTTCCTGTCCCTATTAATATATCATATTTAGTTAATATTAAATTATATTTGTTGATACATTTATTTTTATTCATGGAAATGTCTTGTCAAAATAACTTTTAAATTGGAACAGGCTGAGAGGAATACAATACTTCCTCAAAACTGAATTAAACTGTGATTCCTATAATACTGCCATATAAATTTTCAAAATTTCTTAGACTAAATTATTACCATCATCATTCTTTTCCGTCATTTTTTTCGAACATTACAATGAGTTTCTTGTATTTCTGGTTGCTCTGTTTTTTTATACAGTAACATTTTCACTGTTTCATGCTAGAATTATTTGATACTTATTCGGAAGCTAACATACTCCAGAGACATAGAGTGTGTATATCTCTGTGTGCATATATGTTTCTTTCTTGATTCACTTCGCTCATCAGCTTTAACATATTCTCTATATCCACACAAATAACATATCTATGTAGATCCAGTGGTCGTCATAGCATAACTGACTATAATCTATCATTGTAAACCGTCTATTACTCTGTCCATATACTGCTAATTATGTTAGATTTTCTCCGTACTTTCATGATTTCGTAATTCATCACAGCTTATCAGCACTAACCTCTGTGATGGTCCAAGCATTTGTCACGTTATAACATCCTAAGCAATAATTTGTCTATCTGTTTCTTCAAAAAGTCAGCGATGACATAAAGTATGAAGAGGGTAAGAGATCAACAAAGTTAGATATTAGCACTTAGCGCCTAAAAATTGTAAACATCGATGAGAACAAGTGTGGTAGGTTTATTATCAAGTCATTTCTCCTCGGGCAAAAATTCTCTTATAATAAATATTTTACATTTTAATGGAGTCGTTAAATACAACACGGTCTAGGTTGTAACTAAAACTAGATAAACGACCCACAAGACTCCTTAATTTCTTTGTTAAAGCATTTGACATTTTATGCTAATATTTTTGTGACAAGCATTTTTTGGGTCTTTTTTGTATGGTTTTGGGGTAAACATTTTCTTAATCTTTTGAAAATATCCCGCTATATCCAGTAAGATAAGTAATCAAGAACTACAAGAGAACTACACAAGATTACGAACAAATTTTAATTATACTGCCATCGCTCTGGTAATCCAATCTGATAGTACTGCTTACTGTGAAAATGAAGGTTTCACAACCCATTAGCAAAATAATTGTTAATTTAAGAAACGATTGCAACTTATTAATCGACGTAGGAAGAATTGTTAAGAGAACTCATGCAACAGTCCTATTCATAAACGCCCCTTATTCATAACGTAATTAATGAAAATCCGTGAACTAGCATACTATGTATAATAGTGTACCTGAACAGTCGAAAGTGTGCTACGGGAACAAAGTTTACACGGATGAGTTTCAGGAAGCCATTTCGTTTCAAATTCGTTATAACAAACCGATACCATTTTGGAAGTCTGTAACCTGTAAACGCTTTTGGATCTAATTGGAGAACTATGGTTTGGTAGAAGAGGAATAAACACTTGAAAACAATAAAATTGTGTACTAATATAAACCTTGGAAGTCGAAACGTTCTCGTCTGGAAGTGTTGGAAACTTCTTATTTATAAAAATAATTATTGATCAACATAAATACCTAAAAATTTTGCAGGAAAACATACTTGAGAGTTTCTAAAGAGTTAAGCTAATCGAGTGATTTACCTTTCAACAAAATAACACATTAGTTATAAAGTACAGGTTAAAACGACATTTTTACAACCATGAAACGCAATAGATGAATAAGTGCAAAGCGGTTGTTGGAAGTTTTATATGCTAAAGACGGCGAACAATAACAAATTATTCGTTAATCTGTGTTTTATAATATTTTTGGCCTAAACATCAAAGAAATGATTAAAAGCGGTTTTATCCAAACATATTACTGCTGTTACACATCTATGTATGTTGAGGCAATATTTTATATTGAATAAAAACACTGCTCACCTAAACATATTGTGATTACGCTAAGCAAATTCAAGTTAATAAAAATATGCTCCTTTAAAGTTTTCTGGTAAGGTTGAAAAGAAGAGAGTGATTGGAATCTTAATCAACATAGAGATAGACAACATAGATATTTCAACGGAGTTCGAAAATCATGGCATGTGAATCCATTATTATCTTAGGATGTATGGTCCCTATTTGGATATGACATCTTCTAATCGCTTTCTGCGAATTTAGAATTCATGTTTAAGACTCATCTTTAGTCAGGAAAGTGGATGCTACGTTTCACACACGCTAAGTGCAACGGGCAAAAATTATGTTGTTATAAACTTGGTCATATCCGTATAATGCTTGACAAAATTTGCATTCATCGAATTACAGATAACTGTAATTTCATTTCTTATATTGTTATAATAGAGGGCTTCGTCCCACTTCGTCTTCAATACAGTTTTCGAGAACTACATGGATATCTAAATTACGTTTGCTGCCACATATTTAGACTTAGCAGAGATCTCATTACTATTATACACTTTTCAACTGATTTTTTAATTAAAGGAAAAGGTTTGATCCATATCGATCAGTTTTTATATAATGAAAATGAAAAATCCAACACTTTTTCTGGTCACTATCTATGTAATGCGTCTTACAAGTTTCGACTTACGCCATCATCAGAGATTGATGATTTTTAATCTTTTTTGTAGTCGAACCTGTTATCATAATCCATTGTTGCATCACAGTCATTGTGGTATTCTTTCTATATTATTTACTTCAGTCAGAATGAAGCAACGTTACAGCTTTTGACGAATAACAATTGAAACAAGTCTTATTTTCCTACAAGAATAGTTATTGCTATGTCATTTGGTATTTATTAATTTTCTTCATCTAATTCATGACAACAAACAACTTTTTGTCGTCAATTTTTAAACAATCTAAATTTGTAAATCAAAAAAACTAAAAAGAATTTAGTAAACACAAGTAGAGAGTAATCAATACCAAATAATCCAATCACAAACAACAATGAAATTAATCCTTGCTTTCGATTAAGCAAACAAAGAGAGAGAGAGAAAAGAAAAGAAACCAAAAAAAGTTTCTTCCAATATTAATATCGATGTTTCGATTTCGATGTACCCTCGCCTTAAGACTTACTGTACTCTTCCCTTTTAGCCTCCTAAGTTCGGGGGTCTCACCCCTCCTTATTACGTTCCCCTAGTGCCGGGGCAGACTCGATACGAAACGACGAACGACGTGGGGCCTCGTTCGCTTATTACCGTTCCTTACTTGGACGACGAAGTACGCCTGCCACATGTTCGTCAACACAGGTAGTCCGAGTAACGAAGAAAAAGACCCTCAGCTACTACAACGAAAGGAAGTGTCCGCGTTATTCTCTTTATGTGTCTAAAGTGTATAACAAACGTTTTTGTTGTTTAAAAAAAAATATATTTAACTCCTCGTGTCGTGTTTATAATCAGTACGTTCTCAACCGCGATTAAAACCGTTTCGTAAAACGTTCGATATTATAAAACGTCAAGAACGTTATCGATTATTTTCATTTTTATTTTGGGTTTGTTTAGACATCGATTTGATTGGAAACTGTTAGTTACGGTGATTAGAAACGTTTCATAAAATCAATTTGTTAGATGTCCAGTAACGCAGCTAATAGTATTTCGTGACGGAGTAACACCAAAACAACAAAAACAGAATAGAAGGGAGAGCATTAGTACTGATTTAGACTCACCAACTTCCTTTACTCATTTGTGGTGTATATGTGTGTTAGTGTCAGTGAACGTGAATTCGTTATAAAGATTTTAACCCGAGTGATTTTGAAATTTTAAAATTTATTTAAAAAGGAAATGGAAGATTTCGATTGTTTAAATTTTTATAAAGACATTGAAGATCATTACAATGTAGAATTAAGAAAATCACAACGCAAGGATTGGGAGGACTATTGGGCATGGTATGTTGTTACAAAATAAAAATAAAACTCGCGTGGGCACACCCCCAAAATGGTTAAATGTCACGAAAAAAAGGCGTTAAATGCCACGAAAGTATGTGTAGGTTTACCAAATAGAAACTGCTTTACAAAGTAATTTCTTTACTGTTTCTTAATCGTTAATTAATTTCTTGCAAGGTAATAATTTAAAAAAAAATAGAACATGATGACGTTTATTCATTTAAATGCCTTCACAATGAGTAATACTCCAGGTAATCAACCTGTTTGTAAACCAAATCATAGTAAAGGTTGTTTTCATTAATAAGTTTTCAAAGAAAATAATGGAATTGAATAATGTTCTAAATAATAAGAATCATATCAATAGAAATTAGAAGAATCCTACTAAATAATAGTTCACTTTCTATTGAAATGTATTCTGCATATAACTTTATTTAAAAAATGCATTTCTTTGCGATCTTTACCACCATCCGAGAACAATTTTAACACCTAGTTGTTCTAATGTCCGTAATTTGAATATTCATGAACCAATTGTTCATTGTGACTTTACTTCGTATTTTATCTGATGTCTTTTACGAAACGTGATACAATATAAACTGTATAAATTTCTAATAAATCCCTTGACTGCTTTGCGAATATATTAAAAACATATATTCACGATCAAATCTTTGAAACGATTCAGAACCTCACGCTACTAATATATGACTAGCTACTGTTGGCAGAAAGCTAAATACTATTCGGAGAAGGTTAAATACGGATGGCAGAGAACTAGTCATTTCTAATGGTGGGCTACGTATTGCTAATAGAAAATTTGATACTGGTTGCAGAAGTCTAATTGCCACTTACTAACAAGATGATTACTAAGATACTCGTAAATGATTTGTACTAGAAGGCACTATTTGGTTGCATAAGACCAGCTACTCATAGCGGAGAACTAAACACTGCTAATGAAGGAGTAGATCCTGCTGGAAAAGAGGTAGGTACTGCTAGAAAATGATAAGGCAGTGCGAGCAAAGAACTAAATACTGCTAATGGAAGGGCAGATACTGCTTGCAGATGGTTTAAGGGTGATGGGCTATATTTTGTTGATAAAAGACTTGATAGTAGTTGCAGAAGATTACTTGCTTCATGTAGAAAACTAGATGCTGCTTGCAAAAGACAAGATACTCCTTGTAAAAGACTAGATACTACTGGTAGAGGGCTAGATATTCGTAATGTATGACCAGACAATGCTAATAGAGAATTATACAGTGCTAATGAAGGACAAGAGATTCTTGGAAAAGATTTTGGTACTGCTAGAAAAGGACTAGCTACAATTGGCAAAGATCTAAATACTGCCTTTTACCTAATGTCTATCTAATGGACGACTAGATACTGCTTGCAGAAACTATTTACTACTCAAGGGAGACTTAATACTCTATATAAAAGTCTGGACAGCTTGATTGGATAGCTTTGATATAAAACTAAATACTGTTTGTAGAAAACTAACAACATTTTCACCGTTATTACTTATATTACCACTTATATTTACTTGAGGTTGGAGAGTTATCTTCCTAATTTAGAATTGTAAGGATACATGCTTCCCTATATGATTCAGCATGTTTTTTCTTTTTGTTCAGGAATGGGATTAAATACATACAAAATGTATTGTTTTCTCCCGGTTTCTTCTTAATTAACCCATGGTGTTACGGACTTTTAATGTACAGATGGTTTTCAACATTTGTTAATTCAAACAATTCGTTGAATTTTATAAAATATCTACATTATATAAGTTGCCTATAACATATATTAGTACTCTACAATCAAATCTAATACATTTACTGTGTCTATGAGTAATAAGGCCAATTTTGGTTGGATGTAAAATAATGATTAATTAAGGATATCATAAAACAGCATATTTTTTCAAAGGCCGCAATCATTTCAATTATGTTTCAGTTAGAAAATTGTAATAACTAATAATATTTGTGAACGAATCATAAAAAGAACCATTATTCTGGAACTTCTTAGGCGGCTTTCACATTATAGTGGTATACCAGGAAGCAGAAATATCAAACTTTACTATCAAAGCAAGAGTCGCAAAGCTTATGCAACGAGCAAGTTTTTCTCATTCTCTGAATATATTGACATTACTTGATTTCCGCTGGGGAAATCAAATAAAGTATATATACGTAATTATTTGGAGGACATCGTATAAAATAATTTAATATTAATGAAAAATACAAGAAAAATTTAATAACGATCATATATCCATAAATTCTATTCGAATTCGCAATCTAGGAAAAATATAAGACCTTGTCTATGAATCGCCTTGCACGTCCCATATTGCAACATCGCATTCATATCACGCGGCTTCAATGCGAAAGTATTCGTTTAATAAATAATAACAAACTTCATTATACCCGACACTTTGTCAACAAAATTATACAATTACAAGTACGCTGAGAATCTATAAATTGTTTCAATTATTTCAATCTATAGAATATTAATAAAGTATTATTAGATGAAAAACCGTATTAATCGTTAAAAAATTCGACAAATATATTTCTGCAAGCCATAGAATCAATAGTTTATATCTATCGCATCGCCCGCAAAAGAACATTCAAAAGAAAATTCTTTTATTATAGTCCTATCTAGTATCTAGTCTTCACAAGGACTATCTTGTCTTTTGCAAGCAGCATCTAGTCTTCTACATGTAGCAAGTAGTCTTCTGCAAACTAGTATCAAGTCTTCTATTACCAAAATGTAACTTATCATTAGAAATATCTAATCTCCTGCCGCCAGTGTTTAACTATCTGCAAGCAGTATTTACCCTTAAGTCATTTTCTACCAGTACCTACCTCTTGCCAGCAGCATCTACTCCTTCATTAGTACTGTTTAGTTCTCCGCCAGGAGTATTTAGTCTTATGCAAGCAAATAGTGCAAATAGTAATCATCTTCTTAGCAAGTGCCAATTAGACTTCTAGGTTTTGTTCGTTTATTTTAACGTGATCCTGATGATGGCATGCCGAAACGTATTGAGCTAGAACTAAAAATAATATAATTAAAATCAAATTGAATTTTAAAAAATTGTATTTTTAGAAAATCTTCAATAATGAAACTGTTTATGCTTAAATTTGGTGTAAATTTCTTTTATTGAATGTTAACTGTTACATATTCAAACCGATCTATAAAACAAACAAACAAAAACACATTCAACCTTGTACTTTTGATAATTTGTTATCAAAACATTCAACTGAATCGGTCTATTTCAGTTTGTGACCGCTTTAATTTCTTATTTTTACAATTAATTTATTCGTTTAATTGGCATTAAATGTTCATTAAAATTCATAAAATTAACATTAACAAATAAATCATTTATAGCCTATAATTATAGCTACAATTATAATTTTACTTAAATTATAATTTTTGTTCAATTACCATTTAGGTTAAATTATCATTTTAGTTAAATTACCATTTTAGTATAAACTCACTTCATTTAATACATCTATTTAATAATTTTTAAATAACCCCACCAATTATGGGTTATTAATAGCTGAGAAATTTGCAATAAAACTCGAAAATTGATTAATAACGCGATTTTAATGGACGATTTCAAGCTCATTACGTAAACTGGTATCTATAACATTATTAATAATTAACGGTAAATGTGTCGTTGAACGGTATTTTAACATCTTCTTCCTCGTTTTTTTTCTTCGGTATTATACTTTTTAATCCCGTATGGTGTATAATCGCATTTTGCGTACGTAATTTTTTAACACACCGATAAGCATGTATGTGCAGTAGCACGTTGAACAACGCGTTCTTTATTATCTTTAGAAGTACTTCCGGAATAGACAACGCAAACGACGCGTGGTACATTTGATAGCGGATACCCTACTTGAAATTTTCTAACAAAAAATTAAAAACGTGCTTAAGTATCTTTTTTATTGTTTAAAAAAAGAAAGGATAGATGACGTTGTAAATTGTTAACATTTTGTCAGACTTCATTATCAGTTTACCTCGTAAATACAAGATTATTATTTTTTTTTGTACGCATTAAATGTAAAACCTGTCGATAATTTTATTATCTTCGTTATGAATCATGCCGCAAAACGTAATCCACCGACTTTAATTAAATTTCGCTAAAATAGGATAACGATAATTTATCCCCTTTTTTGTTTATCCTTCTTTATTATCATTATCTTTCTTATTTATATTTATCCCCTTTTACAGTTATTCATATTCAGCTGATATGGTTAAGACACTCATTACTCATGATATTAAATTTATATGTTTTAATTGTAAAGGATTAAAAATTGTTCCAACGAAAAAGATGTAGAAGTTGACTTATATTCGTGCGTACCTAAAAGGTAAGAGAAGGGGGGTAGCATTTAAATGAATGCAAGATGTTCACTAAAGGCAGGTGGTAGAAAACCAGCTTACAAACTCGGTTCGAAAAGGTGTTCGTTCTCTCCCAAAAACCATTATCGAAGGCAACGGCGCAGAAAAAAATCCCAAACAATTAGAACGTGAAAGTACAACACTTGTAGATGAATTAAGACCCGGTTTTGTATGCAAATCTGTATCCTTTCTCTCGATAAGATTAAAAAAAACATCGACGAAATGAACGGAAAATTGATTGTGGTTGAATCATTTTTGCGTCATTATTATTTATGCGTGGGAATAATATTAAAATATTAATCATATTTAAAATAATTGCTGTTTGGAGGTTTGATATTGATAATGAATTGTTTCATACATAACATTAAATGCACAATAAAAATAGAAAAGGATATGATAATTTTTTATGTTGAACTTTAAACAAGTACAGCGTAATAACGTAATAACAATAATTTTATATCCTATTGATTTATATTATGATAACACAAAAGCTTTTGTATAAATAATTAAATCAAGAACTTTTCAATAAAGAAATTTTCCATAAATTCGAAACTAATAAACTCAGAACAAAGTGAATTTAATATTGGTACAATTCATTAACTGTAGTATTGATGTGGATAAATAGA